TGAATCACTTGAATTACATGATTTGGCACTCCTCAAGTGTTTATGTGCTAGGTTCCTGTAAGTTTGTGCCCATTATTCACTTTATCTATTAAGAAAATTGGTTTAAGAGTGTAATCTGGGTTTGAGTATTGTGATTTACTTCGTTATTTATGTACTTGCTTTCGTATACTAGTATCTACAATATTATGTCTTTTGCCTTACTGTTAGTTAAATGATTATCTTTCAAATCTGAAAGTCTCCATTAGCCAGTCAGAAAACACATTGGTGCTAGAGTGGTAAGTAAGAAAGTATATTTGTTCTCAACAGGGTTATACCTACCCCCACAACCCTAAGATAGCTTAAATGTAACTGTGTGCTAGTGGTCTATCTTGGGGAACTTAGACCTGCCAGTGTGCTGGAGTGAATAAGTCAAACTCAGAAAAAGAAGTGGGGTGTCTTAAGAGGCCCACCTAAAGAGAATTAGTTACTGATGGTGCAGACATTAAAACTCCATTAGATGAGCACCACTGGACGCCATTTTGTAATGTTAAATGTGAGGACGGTAGAAAGTTATGCCTTATAACAAAGAATTTTTTTAATAGAAAAAGAGTAAAACAATCTGCAAAACCGATCAATAAATTGAAGAAAACCTGCCAATATAAACAACATTTCAAAACTGAAGCCCTATTCCCCAACCTCTGCAAAGAAGCAGGGAAGGTGTCTTCTCATATCACCTTTCTGGAACCAAACTTGTTCTTTGCAGTTTTTAATTGTTTTGTGCTTACTGCACCTTCTATTTAATTGTTGTAGTCATTCACTGTGCCTGTTGTTTTCTTGGCTCTGCTTACATCACTCTTCAGTAGTTCATGAAGATTTTTCCATGCTTCATCATATTTATTATTTCTTACAATCCAGTAATATTCCATTACATTCATATATCAAAATTTATTTAGACACTCCACAATTGGTAAATATTTACTGTTTCCAATTCTTTGCTATCACGAAAAAGTGTTGCTATAAATATTTCGGTGTATATGGGATTTTCTTCTTATCAGTGGCTTCCTTGGGATTTAAGAATAGCAGTGGAATCTCTGGGTCAGAGTATGGATATTTTAGTCATTTTATTTGCTTAATTGCAAATTGCTTTCCAAAATGGCTCTAGTGATTCACAGTTCTACCAACAATGCATTAGTATGTCTGTCTTTCTGCAACCTCTTGGACCTTGAATATTCCGATCTTTTGTCATCTCTGTTAATCTGCTGGGTCTGGTGGAAGGCAAAACCTCATGGGCGTTTTGATTTGCATTTCTCCCACTATTAGTGCTTTGGAGCATCTTACATATAGTTGTTTACAGTTTGTAATTTTTTTGAGAACTGTTTTCTGGCTTGCCTTTTGTGCAGTCTTAGGCTAGATGAGAGGGCTTACTATTGTTTCTCTTTGGCTTCTTAATCATTATTCAATTGATGTAATGTCTTTAAATTTTTTTGATGGAGTACATGGGCAAAAGTTGGGCTTCTGTAAGACTTTCCATGTAACTCATACTAATTAGAAGACCAAGTGTTCTTCCCACTTTAACATGCTGACATTCAATATTTCTATAAGACTTCTAAACACCTGAAGGTCAACTTAGACATCCCTGTTTTTGGAATTATTTTCTGACCTGATTTGGTCAACTCACCAAATTATGTTTCCCTATTTCCTACTCCTACCAAGTCTGTCAATCAACAGTCTCTCCACTCTTTTCCACAGTCTGCACACTCTTTTCCACTGCTAACACTGTATGAGCTTTCCCCTCTGCATACCTTCCTGAGGTAGCTTATATAGTGATCACTCTAAAATGCCTTGTCATTTCAAATCTCTATTAAAAACCACTTTTTTCCTCTCTTGGATACACATTTTGGTTCCTAAATTGCTACCCACTTACAACCTAGCTGCAAAATGTTTATCAGCATTTGACTGATATCAGAAGTGACAAACCTAAAGAGGATATATTATATATGGACAGCTCTTCTTTTTGCTATATTCTTTCTAGTACTTTATTCTGTCAGTACTTTTTCAGCAGAAATTTTGTTTGGGTTATTATGGTGGATTCAAGATTAACTCATTCATGTCTATGACTGTTATAATGATAGTAAAAGAATGCTTATTACAATGACTACATTTGTCACTCTACTTTGCTAGCTGAAATCTTAAAAATATTCATAATCTATGTCACTATCTTTATTTCATCTAGTTTTTGGCTACAATGACTGTTTGAAATGCCGTATCAGACACATAGCATTTAATTTCCTGAGTGTTACAGATTAAGTACTTATTACTGGAAAAAAAGGATCAAAAAGGCTTAGAGGGATGAGATGGCATAAGATACATGTGAACACAGTCTGATAAGGGTGCTCATAAAAGTCAATATTAAGTGAGAAAAAATGAGTATTCTCTCATATCAATAACCAACTATTAATTGAGATTAAGGTTTCCCCTTTCTATTTCCTCATTCAGAAATAACCCCCTGTATGTTACACAGTCAGTCTCTGGAGGGTGCATACTTGGTTGGGACCCCATCCAACTAGAAAACCTTACTAAAATAATGTAATCTAAGTGAATTCAGGCAAGCTTGGGTGGAGGTAGATTCCCTTGTCTAGATTGCTGGAGGCTGGGGGTGATCTGGGTAGAGAGGAGTGAGAGTGACATGAGCAAAGTCACATCCCCTAGACCCTCATTAGAACAGGCCCACCTCTCATTATAATATTAATTCTCTCATTAATTGTTAACCAATCAGAGTTGATTTCCACCTGTCAGAAATACCCACTCTTCCAAGGGCATATAAGTACTGAGAGAGAAAGCCAACTGACCATTTATTATTTGTTAGCCGTAATTTAAAAAATGATTGTTAATTACCCAGCAATTATGTCTCCTGAACTTTTTATATATCACGTAAATAATCTTTAGGCACATGACATGGAGTCAAGTGCTACTTTGAAATTACTTTATTTTTTATACACTTTGTCTTTACTTAAAAGTAAGCTCTTTTGAGGCCTGGGATTTATTTTTTGACTTTGTAACCTCAGTGTCTAGCACAAGGCTTTGCATACAGTAGGTGCTTAAAAGTGTTTCAAAACTATTAAATTTGGGGGCAGCTAGATGGCACAGTGGATAGAGCAACGGCCCTGGAGTCAGGAGGACCTGGCTTCAAATCCGGCCTCAGACACATAATACTTCCTAGCTATGTGACCCTGGGCAACTCACTTAACCCCAAGTGCCCTCACACACACACAAAAAAACAACCTATTAAATTCGAATTCTAAAATTCATCCAAAGCGTCACTATAACCTGCTCACTAAAACCTTAGAACTCAATGAGAAGACAGCAACAAGTTAAACACACACAGACCAACTGTCTATCATACAAGTTTATGGGGACAAGATGAATTAAAATATGTTTGTTTTTCATATTTAAGTATTTTTTTAAATTAAATTCCTATGCATAGTAAAGGAAAAGTATGAATATTTCAGAAGCAGATGAAAGAGAAGTTATAGACTAGAATGAGTTGTAATGAGAAAGGACAAGGAAATCCAGCCTGGGGGTGAAGAGTGTCACAATTATCAAAGGCAGATGGAAAAGAGATGACTGTTCTAGATGTAACTCAGGGAAGACCTATATGCACATACATATCCATTATTCAACAACTCTGATGGAATGTGCATACCATTTTCTAAAAAATTCATTGTTAATTAATGGCCAAAAACAAGGAACCAAAAGTGAGGCACTATTTCATGATATCAAGGTCACTGCCACCACTACTCTCATACCCTGTAATGGCCAACACCTGAAACTTGGCCTTAGGGCAGTGAGTATAGTAACAAAGGATGGGTTTAAGGGAGACTAGATACCCTCTGACATATTTGCCAAGCATTTAATTTTACAGCTAATAATTATCTCTAAGATCCAAGTGTTCACCTCATACACTTGCCAACAAGCAAAATATACACAACCTTTTCTTCCTGATTACTTTGTCACATCCATTTCTTTTAGATTTTCTTAATGCTCAGAAAGATTATTTTCCATGGGATAGGAATTATCTGCTATTAGAACTGTGGTTACTATTAAGAATATGTCACAAGAATCTAAAGGAAGATATCAAATCTGGCTGAAGAAGTCTGTCTGAATCAAAGCGATCAATTATATGTAACTCACACATTTATTGAGAGCATAATGTGTGCACAACTCTATGATAGGCAGGTGGGGAGATACAGAGCCTGGATAAGACAGAGACAATGGGATTACCTTTGACATCAATATCAGAGAACAAGAGTATGAAAAGATATGAATGAATGTTAACTAAAGTCAATTCCTATAGTTAAAAAAAAAGGTATAAGGAAGTTAGGTGAGGGAGGATAAAAATGTACAACAAAAGGAAGCACTGGACTTACTTAGAGTCAGAAAATCTGGGCTTGATGATGGCAAAGTCACTTAAGGAAACTGAGAAACAAAAACTATCTCTAAGGATCCCAGAAAGTAGGAACCTTGGCAAAGTTTTTATCTTATTCTTCCAAAACAAGGGTATTAATGAATTACAGTCTAACAGGCTCCTCTAGAACATGCCAAAATGTTCTTTTGGAGGATGATGGGTTATTTAATGCTGCAGATATTCCAACCATTACTACAGCAAGTTCAATATAAAAGCAAATGGTAGGACAAAAAATTTGTCTAGAATAACTGTTAAGGAAGTGGTAACTCATAATAAGCTAGATAAAGTTAGCCTACATTAATAGACTAGCAGCTTGTATTTTAGGCAGTCTAAAGAGATGGTCAGAAGAGTGACTACTAATATTTGCAAATACCCAGCTCTAATCCCACCCAAGAAATAGTATTAGGTTATAGCAGAGCTATAGCAAAGTGGAATGAACTGCTTAGGAACTTAGCGGGTTTCCCCTCTCAAGAAGCAGTTACAAAAACAGGAGTGAGTGAAAGAAACCTAAAATCAAATGCCCTATTTAGTCAGGTCTTATTTCTAGTGACCATACCTCTGCTTGCCAGGCCAGCGTGGAAGCAGAGAGGGCTGAAGTGCGGCCAGCCCCCAGAACTGCAATAGTTTCCCCATCATCATCCACCACTTTGAAGTCCAGGTCCTCGTTGTACTTTCTTCTCTTCACTTGCCGTCCTGAGCGCCGTTTCTACAAAACAAACAAATCTAATCAGAGAGGAATTGTTCCTTCTGCCAAAGCCAAATTTTAGGAACCTGAGGTCCACAAGATTTAGGAGGGAAGTTCCATTTCTTTTTCAGAATGGCACAAAAGAATCCAGTGAGTTTTACCAGCATCTATTCAGGTGTGTGTGCTCTTCCCTAAGAAAACCCAATACATGACAATCAGATTTCACAAAGTTGGTGTTTCCACACTTTGTCAAACAATTCTTTTCTAATATGTGCTGAACCTGACTTGAATCAAAAGCCACATGAACCCATATCTCCTCCTTTATGTTATCTCCAAACCCCTACCCAAACTTTCCTGCTACAGGATCAGGTTACTTCTAAGCAAGATGACTATCATTTTAAGAACTCCCAAAGCCACATCTGAAAACCATTCTCATTACTCTGCCACACTGACTACATCCTACTTTAGGTTCACGAAGATTACTAGCCTTATACATCCCAAGCCCCACCAATCTCTACCAGTCTAGTTCACCATCCTCCTTCCTTAGCCTTGCCTTTCCTATTTGTTAACCCTTAATATTTCTCATATGATACAGAAATTGTGGAACTATGACTATAGCTAGAAAAAATCCATGCACTCCGAGTTTACAAGTAGTGGTTTCATTTGGCAAGCCAGAATATTGATCATCGTCAGATGCTGACCTACTCCTGCTCGCTAAGGTCCCCCTTCTGGCTATTGATCTATGATTCTATAATCCTATAACCAAACAATTTAGGAGGCTGTGAGATGTAGAAAAGGACCACAAAAAGCTGGAACTGCATGATCATAGATGGTCCATTAAAAACAGAATAGGAGGCAGCTAGGTGGCGCAGTGGATAGAGCACCAGCCCTGAAGTCAGGAGGACCTGAGTTCAAATCTGGCCTCAGACCAAACACTTGACACTTACTAGCTGTGCGACTCTGGACAAGTCACTTAACCCCAACTGCCTATTAAAAATAAAAAAAAACAGAATAGCTCAACTAGCAACTTGGGGCACTTCAAGAAAGGTAGCATTTCCAGGACCTTCAAAACAAGCTGAAAACTAAATTCCATGAGGGAAAGAGCTCGGTTTTTGTTGTTGTTGTTATTGTTTTTGTCTTCATATCCCCAGCACCCACCACAGCACCCTATACAACTAATGAATATTTGTTGAATCAAAGGAAAAAAAGACAACTCAATCTATGAAGGGGGAAATTCCTACCTAAAGAAGTATTCACCTGGACACTGTTTTTAGGAATGAGATTTAGAAGGGCTTTAAATTGGCTTTGGTGAACCTCCCAAACTGTTCTGAAATAAGGAGCACATTCATATCTCTAACTCAATATTTTAAAGCATTCAGATTTCAAAATTACTTGTACAAACACTGATAGTAATCTGGATCCTAAAATTCTTAGAAGGACATAACTCCCTCTGAAAAGAACACTGGTCCCAAAAGAGTACACTAAAAAAAGGCCTATTCACTACTTTCTTTATCTCTGACCAAGTCCGAGGACTCAGTTTACAGAAGTAAACCAGAGGCAGGAATAAATTAGTAATAAAATGGCAGTAGGAAGATCCCATCTAGAAGCTGTCTTTCAAAGAGGCTCCCAGTCATAACTATACCTGGCTGTCAGCCGACTCAGTGGATTCCTCTGTGTTCCGATGAGATGAACTCAACAGGCCCTGATCCAGCTCTAGGCTTTCCACTGATATATCATTTTTCCTTTTCCCTTTCTTCCTCTTCTCTACTGGAGTTGGTCCTTGCTCCTTGCTACAAGGGAAAATTAAGAGTTAAACTTCTTGATGTAATGAATTAAATCTATTGGGCAGTTTTTAAAACTCCAGTAGCAAATATGCACATAGATGATAAAACTGCTTACTCAAGATGTACACACAGGCTGGGAAGTGGTTCAGAAAATGTGAATTAAAGTCTGGCAATCCCCACCTCCCCCCTTCCCCCCAAACAAAAACACACATCAGATATCATGGCCTCAAGACCAAAAGAGGACTTTTAGTTTTTCATCAAAACAGTAGTTTTGCTTATGTTTACTTGAAGTAAAAGTCTTTTCAAGACTTACTGGTCTACTTGGAAGACAGAAGTCTTCCTAGATCAGATCCTTAAAATTAAAGCCAAAGAGACTTCAACTTCTTTTTCAACTCACATAGTCTAGATGCAATCCTCATATGCTAAATTAAGCCACATGGTTTTAACATTTCCAGACTCGATGGAGAAAAACAAAAGGAATAACAATCACTAGAAAAAAAAAGATGCCAACCTGGCCTTCCTGGCTTTCATCTTGGGTGTAGAATCTGCGCCGCCCCTTTTGTCTTTAGCATCCTTGGATAGTTTGGGCTCCCTTGGTTTCCTAGACTTCCTAACGGCCTCCTTTTGTTTCGGCTCCTTCTGCTTTTTCGGCTCTTTGGCCTTTTTAGGTTCTTTTGGTTCTTTAGGTTCTCTCTTCCTCTTTGGTTTGGGTTCTTTATCCTTGACTCCTTTCTCCATAGACTCTTGCTCACAAGGATCCTTTTTCTTCCGTTTCTTCTTCACCCCCGTGCCTCCACCTCCACTGTCCTCCATCCCATTATGGGACGTCATTTTCCTAGGGAAAAGGTGATCAGTGTCTTCAGCTGGATAGAGGTCCTTCTCAAGGATACAGTGACTGGCCAAATCTGTAATTTTCTCTTCCTGATCAGGGCTGCTAACAAATGAAGACTGAGACTTGTACTCACAAGTGACAGAGGCATCAGACATTGGGGAGCGACTCAGAACTTTTAAATTTGAAAACTGCTGCAGATACAAGACAAAAAAAAAGATTAAATTTCCCTTTAATACTTAATACTTAAAGATCTGTTACAAGCTCAAATGTATGCAGAGAATTCCCTCTACCACACTTTGTAAGCGACCAGTGAAAACCAACATATCCTGAGGTTTTACGAGTTCCTATAGTATAGATACAAACTTTCATGAATCATATGCTGGAGGGCACCTACCATTTTCTTCCACCAAAAAGTCTCTGGCACCAATGTTAAACACAAAATACCAGGTATGCTGTTCCAACACAGTATGGCATCTCTTATGCTTATCTCTTATCTTAATTTATGGAGTAAAAATAAACACTAAATGTGCATATGATATCTGGAAGAGGTAAAATGACTGGATTCTACTCAGGCTCTATTGTCTCATTCCCTCTGAAGGCTACCCTCTTTACTTCCTTGTCCAGATAGAAAATACAGACAGCAGACATGGCATAGCACACTATGGTCAAAAACATGTGAAATGGGGCAGCTAGGTGGCACAATGGATAGAGCATGGGCCCTGGATTCAGGAGGTCCTGAGTTCAAATCCAGATGCAGACACCTGATACTTAACTAGCTGTGTGACCTTGGGCAACTCACTTAACCCTAACTGCCAAAAAAAAAAAGAAAGAAAGAAAAGAAAAGAAAAGAAAAAAATGTGAAACAAGGCAAACAAAATTAGTTTTGCTACTTTAAGGCTATAGCACATTCCTGGCCAGAAAGAATATTATATAGCTTCAATAATCCATCAATGAATTATTTAATTTATTATTTATTAAGTATTTAATAAGTTCTTACAACATGCAACAGAACTTCCAGAAACAAAAATAAAAGGGTCCCTGATCTCAAGGAGCTTATATTATATTGGGATGGGGTAAAGAACAATACATATATAAGTATCTACAAAAGAGATACAAGGTAATATTAGTGGGGCAGAGGAAACTGGCAGCAAGGAAAACCACATCAGGAAATGCTTCCTACAAACAGCGGGGTTTGAACCGAGTACTGAAGGAAAACACGGGATTCAAAGAAGAAGAAGAGGTGATGAAAGTGATTATCAACGTGAGGGCTGTCTAGTGTAAAGGCATGGAGACAGGAAATGGCATGTCAAGTGTGAGAAACAGGAAGGTGGTCAATCTGGCTGGACCATGGAAAGTGAGGGAGGGAGTAAGGTAGTATAAGAAAGCTAGAAGGTGAGTTGGGGGTCCGGTTATAAAGGGCTTTAAAGGGGAAAGAGAGATACTTGATTCTGCAGGAAATGAGAAGACACTTGAGTTTATCAGGTAGACCATATCTGTACTTTAGGAAAATCACTTGAGGCATAGTATACAGTAGTATACATGCAGTACTGTATATTATAATACTATACCATGTATGCTTCTATGCATCATATTTCTGGACAAGGAAGCAAAGAAGGTAGACCTTGGGGGAATAAAACAATAAAGCCTGAGTGTGATCCGATCACTTTACCTCTTCCAAACATTATATCCACGTTCAGTTCTTTTTTACTCCACAAATTAAGATACAAAGTAAGCAGAAGAGATGCTATACTGAGTTCAGACAACACGCCTAGTATTTTGTGTTTGGATGAACTGGAAAACAGAAAAGACTTGAGATCAATTAGGAGACTACTGCAAAATACCAGGAAAAAGGTTATGAGGACCTGGACCAGGCTGCTGGCCATGAAAATAGAAACAAGAAGGATGTGAGAGATGATATGGAGACAGAAACCACAAGATTTGCAAATGATTAGCTATGTAGAGTGAGAGAGTATGGAATGGGGTAAGAGTGGGTTTGCAGTCCCAGATAAATGGAAGCATGATAATGCCTTTGAGTAAATTTTTGGGGAAAAATTAGTTTAATTTTGGACATACTGAAATGCCTATGGAAACCTAGATTGAAATCATAACTGAAAATTAAGAGATCATTACTAATTTTGGAAACAATAGTTTTAATTTATTGTTTAGTTGTTTTCAGTTGTGTTCAACTCTTCATGACCCCATTTGGGTTTTTTTTTTTTTGGCAAAGATAGTAGAGTGGTTTGCCATTTCCTTCTCCAGCTCATTTTACAGATGTGGAAACTGAGGCAAACTGGGTTAAGTGACACAGATAATATCTGAGGCCAGATTTGAGGCCACACAGACACAGACACACAGACACACAGACACACAGACACACACACACACACACACACACACACACACAATAACTACTGAAGGTTAATTCACCAAAATAGTCCATATGGCAAAATCTAGAGACCAGGAACTTAGGAATTTTTTAAACCATGGCTCATTTACTGATCAGTTTTAAAGAAAGTTAGCTTTTAACAACAATCACTTAGAATCTACTATTTGAGGGCAGCTAGATGGCGCAGTGGATAGAGCACCAGCCCTGAAGTCAGGAGGACCTGAGTTCAAATCCTGCCTCAGACCAAACACTTGACACTAGCTGTGTAACCCTGGGCAAGTCACTTAATCCCAATTGCCTTAAAAAAAAAAAAAAAGAATCTACTGTTTGTACACCCCTTTACCTTACTTACATTGAGGAAAAAGATAAAAGGAAATGGTACAACAATCGAAGTGCCAATGGATATCTTCATAGAATTAGATAAAATCCTAACACAATTCTTAGGGCAAAATAAAGATCTGTTCAGCTTAACTGTATTTCACAAAGAAAGGGACTATGGGGTAATAATAGGGAAATGATAGCAAATAAAAATAAGCATCAACAAAACATTTCAAGACAAAAGAAAAATAAACAAAGAAACTATGAAAATGAATGGAGGGCTCCCAATATGATACCAAAAGGTACCATGAAGCCATATTTACAAGAAAAAAAACTATCTGTTTTTGATTTTTTTCTTTTGTTTTAGTGAGGCAATTGGGGTTAAGTGACTTGCCCAGAGTCATACAGCTAGGAAGTATTATGTGTCTGAGGCCGGATCTGAACTCAGGTCCTCCTGACTCCAAGGGCGGTACTCTATCTACTGTACCACCTAGCTGCTCCCCCCCAAAAATTATATATTGTTCATACTCTTTGACCCAGAGACTAAACTATCAGGACTATTTATGGGGAGATTACTGACAACAAGATCTATATACATATGCCTACATGTACATATTCATAGTCACTTTATTTGTGATAACAAAAATTTAGAAACAAGATAAGCACCCAATAATAGGGCAATGGCTAATAAATTATCATATAAAAGTGTAATGGAATTACTGGTAAACTGTAAGGAATGAAAAATGCAAGTAAGTCAGAGAAACATGAGAAAGCCTATATAGATCCTATAGGGTGAAGAAAATAGAGCCAAAAGAACAACATACATATTACCTTCAACAAGAAATAAAACACTGAGAAACCACAAAACTCTGGTGAAATACAACAGTCAAATGTTTTGCTAAAACCTAGATGAATTAAATCTACAACAATCTGCTGATCTACTAGTCTATTAACCAGTCAAAAAAGGAAATGAGGTCAGTCTAGCATGATCTGTCCCTGATGAAACCATGTTGGGTTTTCTGTGATTACAACTTCCTTTTTTCAGATGCTCACTAACCATCCCTTTAACACAATGATCTAAAATTGTTCCAGGAATTAAGTTAAGCTCACCAGTCTATAGTCCATAGATTTCATTCTCTTCTCTTTCGGGGAAATTAGGTTTTTTGGTCTTTCTCCAGTCCTTCAGTGCCCTGCCTACTCTCTAATATCTCTGTGATCTTTCAAAGATAACTGAAGGCAGCTCAGCAAACACATCTCACAATTACTTGAGTAGCCATCAATATAGTTCAAGAGAGTCCAGTGCCTTGACTCTGATTATCAAAGGCAGCTAAATGGTCTCCTAGAATACCAACTCTATGAAGCATTTTACTGTTCTTCCCACTCCAAGGATGTCAGGATTAATCAATCAGTCAGAAAGTCAACAAGAATTTATTAAATGCATACTATATGGTAGGAACAATGCTAAGAATTAAGAATATAAAAAAAGGTAAAAAAAAAGCCTTTAGTCTCAAGGAATTCAAATTCTAATGGGAGAAACAATATTCAAATAGCTACATATATACGAGACATATATAGATGGAATATAATCCCAAGATGGAAGTCACTTACAATGGGGAGAGCCAGAAAAACCTCCTGAAGAGGGCAGCATTTGAGCTGAGTCTTGAGTGAAGCCAAGAGGCAGAGGTGAGGAAGGAAAACATTTCCATGCATGGGGGGTCTAAAAATGAATGTAGCTGGATTGCAGAGCATACGGATTGTATAGTGTACACATAATGGAATGGTAGGAAGGGAAAGGTTTTAAAGGACTTTAAATGCCAAAGACGGTACATTATATCTTATAATAGAGACAACAGGGAGGCAATGGAGTTTAATGAGAAGGGGGATGATATAGTCAGAATTATGCTTTTAAAAAAATCACTTGGGTAGCTGAATAAAGGATGGATTGGAGTGAGGACAGACTTGAGGCAGAGAGAGGTTTTTAGCAGGCTATAGCAATAGTCCAAGTAAGAAGTGTTGAGGACCTATTATTAGAGTAGCTGTGTGAACAGAAAGAAGAGGATGTATACAAGAGTGTTGAGAAGGTAGAAATAACATGATTTGACAACAGACTAGATATGTGAGGTGAGTACAAATGGGGAATTAAGGATGATTCCAAAGCTGCAAACCTGGGTGACTTGGAAGGATGGTAGTGTCCCTTCAATAGTAATAGAAAAGTTGGGAAGACAGAAGAGTTTGGGGACAAAGATAATGGTTCTATTTTGGACATGCTGAGTTTGAGATGCCTATAGGACATCTGGTTCAAGATGTTCAAAATTCAACTGGTGACATGAGACTGAAACTCAAAAGAATTTAAGGCTGGATATATAGCTCTGGGAATCATGTGCATAGAAATGAGAGTTGAAATCATGAGAGCTGATGAAATCACCAAGCAAGGTTGTAAAGAAGGAAAAAAGAAGAGAGTCCAGGACAGAGCCTTGGAGGACACCC